TCAGTTTAAACCAACCTACCCCATAGGACATTTTTCAATTCAATTATTAAAAACAAATCACATTCTAGACAGTTTCTTAGATATTTAGATATTTGCAGACAGGTAATTCTGCAACTGAGCTTTCCGTGGCCATTTGAACTCTCTCTCTCTGAAGACTTTATCTGGAACAGTGCTCAGCAACCTTTACTATCAAAGGAAAAAAAATCTGTCTGGAGCTGCAAAACACATTTGATCCCTATAATGGAAATTTCTTGCTGCAGATCAAGCATAACAGTAAACCAGCAGTGTTGGTGGTGAAAGCAAACAAATCTGTCCACACGCTATAAAATGATCCATTTTCTTCTGAGACATTGGAATCGATAGCTAGCCCACCTAAGGAGACTCAAGACTAGTAGTGCTATTGAGGTTTGGCAAAATCTAGAGTTAAGGTGCTAGGTCAGAAGGTAACATATATAGAGCACATTTTATTTGACAAAATGTTTAAAACTGTTTATTTGGTCTGTATTGGCTACGCTTTGAGAATGTAAGGATCCCTTTAGGCCTACAAGAATGATGAATGAAAATGTTAAAAAATAACCATTATTCATTTACATCAAATTTTTTGTCAAAGCCACAGGGAGCCAGTGAAGAGGGGCTGAAGAGCTGCATGAGGCTCTGGGGCCGCAGGTTGCCTCCCCCTGACCCTGAAGATTGGCAAAATCTGTGATATGGGAAATACTTGCTTTAGGGACTCACATTCATCACCAGACACATACACACTCTGTCTCTCTGACACACACACACACACACAAACATATGACAGCGATGACTCCTCTGTCAGCGGATTGTCCAGGTGCTGCATGAACGAATAAATGTGGTCTAATTCTCCTCAGATGTCAGTTGTTGTTTTTTCACCGTAAAGTCTGGCAAATTGCAGTGATTTGCAGTCATAAATTTTTCATGCACAAGTTTCCCCTCTGACTCCGGCAGACATTCCTCTTTCAGCTGGCACTGCTGCGGCTACTTGCAACGCTAATGTATGAGACAACCGGATATCTCCCAGAGAGAGCGAGAGGGCCGTATGTTTGTGTGTGGACCTGTCACTCTCGGCTGAGTGATGCTGATGTGAGCTGAAGTGGCATGACTGCGGCTCTCTATGAGGGAGGTATGGCACAGAATCCAGACTGGAGTGGGGCATGGTGAGAGTATGTGTGTGGGGACGCCTTGGCAGACATCAGATGAGGGGATGTCATGCCCCTCAGACTCTCTCACACACACACACAAACACAAACATCCATATCCAACAGCAGCGAGCATGAATGGTCATTCAGCTCCAGCCAGCGGTATGAAAACAAGTCAAAGGGAGGAAGAGGAGGAGGAAAAGGGGGAGGATGAAGGATGGGATCTCGGGCCAAAAGAAACATGGTGGGCTCGTCTGTCCTCCTCCCTGTCCTGATGAGCACCCCAGGCAAATATTCTGTGAATGAGAGCATATTTTGGGGGGCTACACTTCCTATTTTACCCTGCAAAGGCGAAGGAGGAGGAGGTGGGGGAGAGGTGACTCACCCATGATGTCATAGGAGATGAAAAATTTTAAATGAGTCTCAATGTGTAATAGAGGACGTGAATTTTGGCCTGCCTCTGGGTCTGGTACTTCTATTAATGTACAACAGTGCTGGTTTTCGACCTTCTCAGGCTCAGTGATCCCCAAAATAAAGTCGAGCCCTTTGAAATTTCCCCCGGTTAGCATTTCTTTCTTGTTTGTGTGGTCGAAGAAAAAACTCTAGAAAGCTTTTTAACACTCTACAAAACAGCGATGGTGAGGCATGAATGGGTGAAAATTAAATAGTTTGCCACTTATTTCGAAATATAGATGCTGAATGCTACATGAAGCTACATTCAGCAGCTAGTTAGCTTAGCTATCATAAAGCCAAACTCTGTCTAAGGGTGAAAAATCCACCAACCAGCACCTTTAAAGCTTTCTAATTAACATATTCTATAGTCTCTGTAAACTTAATCTCACGGTGACGATAAGGCTCCAGGAAGCTAGCTAAGGAACAGTCCGGTACGTAATTCCTCATTAAAAAAAAAAACACTACTTATCATTTTTACACCTCAGCTGTAGCATAAATTAAACAAACAAGATTTAACGTGTACATTAGTGAGCTTTAGAGGTTCTGGTCCGTAGATTTTGTCACTTTCTGACTGAGCCAGGCTAGCTGTTTCCCCGTGCTTCCCGTCTTTATGCTAAGCTAGGCAAACTGGCTGCTGGACTTAGCTTCTAATTTAATGGACAGACACGAGAGCGCTATCGATGTTCTCATCTAACTCTCAGCAATAAAAGGAAAAACCATAATTCACGAAAATGTTGATTTTTTTCCTTTAACTACCCAAAAACAGAGAACATGATGAGCTGAGACATTTCCAGCACAGCTACAAAGAATAAAAAATGTATAGAAGCATTCATTCCGCTGTTTTCTTCATAGAAGTTAAAAACTCCTCACGGAACAAAAAGCCTCAAGCTCGTTTTAATATTTGTGTTAAACACCTAATAATAAATGTTTTTCTACGTTCAACCTCTCGCTCTACACTCTCTACTTTGTAACCCAGCTGACGTGTGTGGGACACAGAGCCTGGACACGCTCCTTTGATCCCTGGCTGCAAACCCACGATAATGAGGTGACTTTATGATCATTGAGAATTTATGCTCATTGGATATAACAGTTTTCAATTCAACAAATTATGAGCCTTGTCCGTCAGAATGTCCGCTCTGACATTTTCCCCAGTTCTCCTTTTGCAGGAAAGCCATTAAGTGAGAGGTCTTATGAAGTTTTCTGTGGGTGTGACAAGTACTCATAAGGGTTTAAATTACCTTTGAAGTGGCAGCTAATCACTGTGGTGAAGCAGTTTTGGCTCAGTGGCTACAGCTGCTTCACCAGAGGAGTCGATATGGAGCTGGGGCCTTTAGGCTAACTTATTTAAGCAAGGAAAGGTGGCACAATGTCTGATAGTCTTCAGACGTCAAGGATAAAAGGCAGGTTTTGTCTCTGTCAGCAATCAATTCAATCATACACAAAATAAGAATATAAAATGTAGTTCTCAATGCGGGCTGTAGACTGTAGAAATACAGAGCTTGAAGTCCTCATACCTGAGCAACAAAATAGGTAGTTTCTCACTGCCATCCAAAATGACCCATATTAGTATTTTCTGACCTGCCACCAGGTTTGGTTTAGTTCAGGCAACTAAAACTAGGTTGAGGTTAGGAATAGATTACAGTCATGGTTAAAAAAATTGAATTGTTGGTAGCAGATTGATGTGAACTGTGGTCTCCAATATCAAAGCCATGCCCTTTGTTCCCCCAACCATCTTCCCTGACCTCCTTCTTAAGAGGTTTTGTGGCACCATATCCACGTCGAACTACTCTCGGGGCCTCCGATCCCAAGGGCCCGGTTGGAAATCAAGCCTTCGCTACTGTCGCCTTTGCTTCTGAGAGAGAAGAGTCATTATACGCTTGACCACAAGATGCTGCTTGTCAGGAAAACAGAAGCACTGATTGTTTTGGACTGTTGGATCTAATTCTGTTGTTTTTACTGTAACAGAACTCATCTTTCCCCATTTCAACATAAGTTTATTTTGAAACTGCACATAAAAAACACCATCAAAAGAAAACTCGCAAGAGCAACATTAGTTTTTCTAACCCCATTAGAACCAATTAGACAACCCCACGCTGAGTGATAACAGAGTTTGATAGCTCCCTGGGTGGAGACAGATGCTATCTGGCTCTCTTGCTGAAGCAACACGACCTTTAAACACACCAGTGTTTTACTGAAGGGGACCCCAGTCCCAGCAGAGTCCTTTATCTCTGATGTAAGACATGGTGGTGTCAAAGAACCCCTTGTGATGCCCCTCAATACCAGTAGGAGGTATTTTAATAGATGTCTGACCCGTGGTGTCTCTAGCCTGCCGCCATCTCTCTCACAGGGAAACTATTGTGCTGCATCAGAAACACAGTGAGCAGAGGAGACCCTAAAAACCACTTAGGTTGTTTTTCTTCTGCTGTTGCTTGTCACTCATGTTGATGAGCTATCAGATATCCTGAGGCTGAGATAACCATCTTTAGTTAAGTCCCCACACACTGTTTAATGTGCCGGCTTTTTTTTTTAACCACACTTTTTTAACTCTTTATTTAGCCATGCTGATAGGTTTGATTTTACTTGTCCAGCAAAATGCACAAATATTATTACTTTCCAAGGTGGTGATACATTTGTATTTGTCAGAAATACGGAAATATTTTTATTTTTAAACACAATGTTTAAATACGATATACAGATTTGTATCCAGATCCATAAAGTTGCATACCATGAGATCCAGTGATAAATAGAATTAGCTCCACCTTGACAAACAACCATAGTAAAAATGCTACTCACACATTAATGCATCAGAATTATTAATCCAATGATATGACACCCACTAGGGACATTTTCTGCATTTTGCGATTTTTAATACATTTAAGTAAATGCATTTTTGAATGCAGGACTTTATTCCGTTGTGGTAGTTGTACTTGCTTTAAGTAAAGAATCTGCATACTTCTCCCCACCCCTGACAACCACTCTCTCCACAACCACAGCAAATTTGGCTTAAAACATTATCTTTGAAAAGCCAGTTTTCGAATGCTTAGGACACACAATGTCACCACAGATATTTGTTGTTATTTATGTTAAAGGTTCCAGCTTTAAAACCTCATTGAAACTTTGTGTATGACCTTGAATAGCTTTCACCAGTTCACATTGCTTCCCCTCTCTCAGTGATGGAGTGGGTAGATTTACAGTATAGGTTTAATATATTGTGATGGAAAGCTATTCTGTTGTTAACTTGAATCAAATCTCGTAAGCAGTTCACCTAAAAGGTTGCATATCTCTCGTTGGCTGTGCGCTCCGAGGCGTCACCATCTCACATCCAGCAGCAGAGCCTCATGCATGCGTCCTCCCCCGGTCTCCTCCCATTGTAGAAACAGCTGTAGACCGTGAACCGTGGAGTGCGGGTCTGACACGGATTACCTGGATACCGGATTGAAGTCTGGGTGGGCATCAACCAGCGACGAACAGAAAGCCAACGCTTTTGAGCAAAGTTTCTCCACATTTATTTTTAATGAAATCATCACCAAGAACTTCAACCATGGCATGGATTTTTCACACTCTGCATTTATTACTGATTCTGGAGTCGAGCTGGAGCAAACTCCTCTCTGAGGATCTCGGTGAAGCCGTGCGTCAAGGTGCCGATGTCCCGCCGGCTGTGGAGGAGCGCGTCTTTGCGCACGAAAGCGCAAACCGGGACATGGTCTCCATCAACATGTTCAAAGTGTACGAGAAGTACAGTAAAGAGCCGCAGAGCCAGAGGGACGGAAACACCGTGAGAAGTTTTAAAGCTGTCCCGAGTGAGTGAACAACGTTACTGTACAGGAGAGAACGGTTGATCCGGTCAGAAAGAAATAATACTTACTGCTGGTGCTGAGTGGAAGCTTTCATAATATCTCTAGACACTGTTTACACATACATCTGCTTTATTAAGAATCCCTCAGTTATCTTCATGTTACTGGTATTTCTATTAACTAATGAACATTGAGTGAGCATTTTGTTAATAAGTCTAAATGATATTTTTAAAAAAAAGGTTTTTATAAAGGAGGTGATTTTGTATTTTTTGAAGCATGCTTTTGTGTCAGTAATAACTGAACTCATTTCAATATATCACAGCTTCTTGAAAACGGACAAAATGTTTCTTTTCTAAAGCAAATGAAAAAGAGTAAAAGTGAATCAGCACAAAAGCCTATTCTTATTTACCCTATTCATTTTAAACACAACTTATAACTGTTTTATGTAACTTATCCTCCATTGAAACTCAAGATTTATGTCATCTAACATGCTCTTAATATCATTTTTGTTTCTCCACTTTATTTTACTTATTGTTGCTCATTTCATTACAGACTAAATCTATTACACACACAGAGAATGGCAAAAAGTTCACATTAAACTAAAACAATGCCCTGAAAAGATTTCTGAGTGACATCCTAAACACAGGTGTTTTATCAGTCACACAGCAGCTCTCGCGCCCCTTTGGGCTAAACATCTTCACCTCTATGCTCCGTTGGTGCGATGATTTAGTTGAACTGGGGGACTTAAATTCTCAAGCACTGTTAGTTGCCCGGTAGCTGAAACAGCCGAGGTGTTAGACAAGAGCCTATTATCACACTCAGACACCGGCTGCACGGCGAAAAGCCTCAGAGGAGCTCTTTCTGCTATAAGCATTTCCACATGCCTGCGACAGACCTACTGGACTAATCCAGTGTTTGTCTCTCAGGCTGTGGTGGAAGTGTGGGAGACAAGGTTGAACTTCAAGAGTATAGCGATATAGGATGAGGGTGCTGGTCATGCGTGAGGCAGATACTTAACTTGCTTAATATATTCCATGCTGCTGCTTGTGTCAGTCAGATGTGTTGAGCAACATTTTGCACAAGATCTACTGGATGCTGTTATTTATGTCATTCAAATATGCCAGAATAGGATGATTTAGGAGGAAAAGGGAGAGAGGGGAAAAAGTTCAAGACAGCAACTTGATCGCTTTCGACAAAACATCTGTTTGGTTGAACCAGCAAGCACATCACTGTTTATAAATCCTCCCCTTTTTTAAAGCCAATAGATAAATTAGAAAAAGCATGGAAGACAGGATTAAACAAGGTTTATCTCTGAAGTTTCTGAACTTGAACCGGTTTTTCTAGTCCATCATCTCATTCTTCTTCTAATTTCTAATTCCCCAGGAGTCCTGCACGGCAAAGACGTCTTCCAGTTCAACCTGTCCTCCATCCAAGAATCAGAGCTCATCCTCTTCGCCTCTTTTCATTTCCTCTACAAGCGGCCCCGCCACAACCAGCGACCGTGGCGTTTCCGAAGGCCTCGCCACCCATCCAGTGGCTTCCAGCATCCCTATCCTCCCTCCCCGCAGCTCCTCTTCCATGGATCGCCCCCAAACTCAGCTTTTGCAACACCACTGGGAAACATAACTCTGGCTTCTTTCAAGAAAGGCTCTTGGCAAACAAGGGATGTTACGGCGGTGGTGAAGCACGCCAGGGATGTCAAAGAGCTTGTGGTCACAGTGGAGTTTGATATGGGGTTCGGGGCGGCTCGGGTGCAGCAGAGGAGTCCTCATGGCCAAGAACGCCTCTCTCCAGCCAACCTGCCGTATATCTTGATATACGCAGATGATCGAGCTATAGATGAGCCGAACAGCGTGGCCATGTCACTCCAGCGATACGGGTCCTTCCCTATAGGGGAGGATGCATCCCCCTCAGCTGCAGCCTCAGCCTCGAGGATTCGGAGGGAGCTTCCTCTCCAGATCCAAACCAATGACATTCCCGAGGTCCATTACAACGCCTTGAAGAACCACGAACTGTGGCAGAACACGTATTTCCCTGCAAAAGCCAAAGCAGCAGTGAAACCAGGAAGGAAGCAGGGTCAGGAGAGCAACGAGGGCCTGAGTAAGCCCCAGGTGCTGAGCTTTGATGAGAGGACAATGAAAAAGGCCAGGAGGAGACAGTGGACCGAGCCCAGGGTTTGCTCCAGGCGCTACCTCCGGGTGGACTTTGCTGACATCGGTTGGAGCGAGTGGGTTTTGGCACCAAAGTCGTTTGATGCCTACTACTGCGCCGGGACCTGTGGATTCCCCATCCCTAAAGTGAGTCAGAGATACCTTTAAGCTGATCACACACACAGACCCTGCTCCTGCAGCACGGATGTCATTCAGTGTCCCACATCACGAGCTATATGAACTGAAACTGCTGAAGATACAGTTGCATTTTGCACAGATTCAATCACACACGCGCAGACTGAAAACGTATGAACATGAAAAGTGTTCTTATAGGAAAAGGCAAATGTGATGAAAATTGGAATTTTAAAAGAAGTAGTCACTTTGCAATTTTTTTCAGGCATCAGTTGGCATCTTTTTTGGAAATTGGCTTTATTTTCACGGTGATAACATTAAATTGTATTAGCACTAATCCATTTTACTTATTTCCTTAGGTGGTGCGTCCTTCCAATCACGCCACAATCCAGAGCATCGTCAGAGCTGTGGGAATCGTCCCTGGTGTCCCTGAACCGTGCTGCGTTCCAGAGAAGATGAGTCCCCTCAGCGTTCTTTTCCTCGACCCACACAGGAATATAGTGCTAAAGGTTTACCCCGGCATGTCCGTGGATACCTGCGCCTGTCGATAGGGCCGGAGCCACCGGATCAATCAAGGTGCGATCACTCAAGATGAAAGATTGCGAGGAGGACGTAAGTGTAGACTCAGCATATATCAGAAGAGCATTTCCACATCGAAGAGGACAGTAGTGATGAGGACAGCCAAGGATGAACTGATAGGGCTCTAGTTTTTGAGTCTCAATTGAGAACTCTCTTCTGAATCTCGGACTGGTGACGTTAGGACGTTGACTCAACTTTGTCCTGCTTATCTAACAATTTTCATATATGTGTTTTTCTCCACACTGCATTTATTTTTCATCCAAAAGCAGTTTTGAGAAGTGCACTTAATACAAACCTGTGTATGTAATGATCCTAAATTGTATGTATTGACTAACTGGATGTTGAAGTTAAGTACAAAGCTCATGCAGGAGGACCTTCATCTCTGTTGACCCTTATAAGCTTTTTCAGTCCTTTTTCAGTCCTTTTTCAGCACATTTTCACTTTTATAAAGTGATTTTGCCTGTTTAGTATTAAGCAAGATAAGACATGACTTCCTCTGGACTCAGACCTGGTTGTGGAATTGGTTCCAACTTCACTAAGCTCAACGTCTGGGTTTCTGAAACCTTCAGAGATCAGTATCCTCTACTGCCTGTCTGTAGGAACTAAATTTTGGACGAACTGATGAACTGCACACTGACTCACAGACTCAGGAGGGTCTGAGGGACACAGAGGCTGCATGGCAGCACATTTGAATCCTACCAACTTAATTCACCTATATCATGTAAATACTGTAGTTACTAATGCAAACTAAATACTAAAGTACTTATTCTTAAGTGATGTGTCACACGGGGCGGCACATGTAGTCATTGAACACCTCCCATATATTAGCAAGAGATGTTATTCATGCATGAGAGGTTATATCTTGTTTGAACTATACTTCTTTGAACTATATTTCAATAGACATTTGTTTATATTTTGTATATAATGACACACATTAAGAGTGAATGTACTACAAGCATTGTGTGTCATGTTTCTGCTACAGGAAAAATAGTGCATTGCTGCCACCTGCTGTGCATTTCAGGAACGTTTAACGGACTAAAACATTTTGAAGGAGAAGGTTCTAGTGCTTTCTGTGGCTATTCAGTATTTCCCTTTAATACATAAATACTGTTTATCAAAAATGACATGTACAGTTTGTAATAATAGTATATTTGCGTAGTAAGTAAGAAGGATAAATGTATCCAACTGTATAAGTGTAGGCTATGGCTAAAAGTGTATTTGAATAGTTATGTGATGTGTGCTTTTACAAATCATAGACATACTGTACGCCTGGTAAGGAAATAAACTGAATTGTACATATAGTCAAAGATACTTGCTGACTTGCTTAGGTTTTATAAAAGGTATATACAGCATATACAGTACCTGGACATATACCTTACCATAACTTACTGTATGTCAATACGTACATATACATTACATAGATTAGAGCCAAAGGGGCATAAATGACATTTGACCAACTTTACTACTTTGTCTGGACTTTCAATCTTTAATATTAAAACGTCATAAATGTGTGGATGACAATATACTTAATATACAATATTTTGACTTTTAATGAACAAAAAACATGGTTTAGAATACACATGTGCTCTTTTGCCAGTAGAAAGAGCATCAAGAGCTTTCATTTGATAACTCGCCCAAAATGTCAGTTGTCCCTCTGGTTCTCACCCCTTGAATTTAATTTAAAGTTAAGCTGTTATCTTGGTTTACTTATGTATAATGTCAATCTTGAATATAACAGGTCAAATGTGTTGAGTATCATGATAATGTTTCTTTCCTCTCTGATCAAAGCTACAATTAAGAAGTCTGGAAAACTTGTAGTGAGATTTGATTAAATTTCATAAAAGTTCATTTCTGTGTAGTCCTTCACAGCAGCAGTAATGTGATTTTTTACCTGCATTGAATGGGTGGTAGTGAGTCCCCTTAAAGATGCACTAATCAATATTTTTATCAACAAATTGATCAGATGTGAAGAGTGAAATTAATCCTAATAACAAACCCACAGATAATTGTCATTGGTTTTTATCATTGGTTTTATGTCCAACTTAACTTTTCTGTTTTAGTTAACTTTCACTGCTATCATCAGTGTCTTCTCGAAGCAGATCTCTTCAATAAATAAACCCTGATAAACGCCATTTTACACCAGAACCAATCCAAGAAAAAAAAGTTCACAACTAGCTGGTGAACATAGAGAGGCACTTAGCAGCTTAAAAGCCACATATTTTCCTCAGAAGTTGAATGAATGCTAATGTTGCTCCATGTCTGCTTGATGATTTAATAGGCAACTGTGTACAACCAGTCAATGTTGAGTTTGTTCCTCTGTCCCCAAGAAGGCAGCATTTTTTACCCTGCTTTAAAGAGCTGCTAATAATAAAACAGTTAATTGGAGAGTTTAAATGTTACATAATGGTCTAAGTTTTGACCATTTTGACCCTTGGATACTTTCGCAATTCTTAACTTGAAAACATAAAAGCTTGCGTTGATTATTGGAATTACACATTGCATTCCTTCGTATATTATTTATGTCAAGCATAAAAAAAAGGCTATTGGTCAAACTCTAATATAATTTGACAGGTTTTTACTGCATATTTTTCGACCCAGTAATATGACCACAGATCTTTCTCAGTCCAGTTTTCCCTGCTGTGTTTGTTTCTCTCCTGCGTGCCTACATTATTTGCTGTATCCATGCCAGTAGATTTTGTCGTCGCCTTTCATCCCTGATTGACTCCATAGAGAGAAATTCTTAAAAGCCTGAAAGGGCCACAATAAAAGCATTTTTATGAAACCCGGCATGAACCAAGTACTGAGTGACTGCATGGTTGAAAGACAGAAATTCCAAGATAGTCCGGACTCAGGCCAACGTCCCCAGACACACTGGCTTGTGGTTGGGGCTCAAACCCCCCACAGGAACAAGGGGCAAATCCCATCATTCATCTAGCACATGCAGGATGTAGTGGTGAAAGCCACCACCATCATGTCCTTTGTTCCATTCGCCAGTGGTGTGAAATAAGCTCTCATGCCTATCAGATTTTATAGATTTCCCCTATATATGTTTATGAACATTTTACCTTGCATTGCTCCTAACATTCTACGTCTGTTTGTTCTTTAAAAAGTGCAAAGGAAGTGAAGTTCTATGTGTCATGTTTTCTTGGAATAAAGAATTAGGGAGTTAGTGATAGCAGCCATGGATGAACAAGAACACTAAAAGTGATCCCCCTAGATAAACTTCTACAGAAAATCAAAGTAAAAAAACATTCGAGAGTCACTCACAGTGCTTAACCGACAGGGTGGTCTCTGGGAAGTGCAGTACAGAAAAAAATACAGAACTTTACACAATCGTGATGTGTTTCCCATCAGAAGTATATCTTTGTTCCCTTTTTATTTTGAAAAATACCTACAGTATGTGGGAACACAGCAAATTCTTTCAACTGTCATATCATTTAATAATGAATAGTTTTCAATAATTATTGAAAAGGAGAGGGAAGACGACTCTAGTGAGCGCAAACAGCTGCATTCAGAGTCTATTACGGTTGAACTTTTTCAGCTTAATATCTGAGTTCCCTGAATTATACACATCTTCACCAGCAGAGAGAAGAGAAACATTCTTGGAGGAACATCAGCTATAAAGTCTAAATATCCATCATTTGGGACAATAAACAACAATTACAATACCGGTCAGCAAAACTTGCTGTATTCATTTAGTCATATTGCTTAACATTTCTTCTATGTTAAGCTACAACTGGCTAGCTGCTAGCACCGATTCAAAATACAGAAGAGTTCAGGAGGTAGAGCAGGGCGTCCACTACAGACAGAAGGTTGGCAGTGCACTCCTCCAAGACTAGAAAGGTGCTATATAGGTTCCTGCACTGTGAATTCCCATAAAGCCGCAGTATCACTGTGTTTTTGTAACTAACCTGGTTTTATATTTCACCAAGATTTTTGTCTGGTCTCAATATAGTAATAATAGTATTAATTAATATGTTAAATAATTTTTATTGTATAATTCTGGGAATTCATTCATTCCATTCATCTCCAAGTCAAGTCAATTTTATTTATAGACCACAACAATCATGGGTTTTTACAATCTGTACAGCAGTGGTCAACAGCGTTTAGTCAGCTCAGCTCAGTTCAACAACAACAAAAAAAAGGGCATTCTATGGAGATGTCTGCTTGTCAGTAACCTCACAGTTTCCAGTGCCTCCCTCATTATCTCTGTCAAGTGTTTACAGTGTCTTCATTAGCAGCCAGCCCTCTAATGATAACACAGCTTAAAAGAAGGCATCAATGGCAGTGATAACAAGCTACTATTTTGGTTGACACCAAGTCCCCCTGTTTACTCTGGGAGCATGGGAGCGGACATCAGGACTGTGGTCCTTGCATTGGGGATCTCCATTTTCAAACCTTGCCATCGCAAAGTCTGTTTTCAAGCTGGGAAGAAGGTAAACTTTGTGAAAGATCAGTGGCTTAGAAGGAATCTAATTTCAACATGCGGAGCTCCAGATCATTCCTGTTCCAGGTTTGTTTAAGTCTAGTGGTTTCTATAGGCTCCTGCACCTGTAAACCTCTCACTAATGACATCCAGAGCGGGGACCCTGAGGGACTCTACTCTCAGCTGTCAGAGGAGGACCTTCTGGAGGAGGAAGACACCGACTCCAAGATGGAAAACCTCCTGGGAACCATGAAGGAGGGCTTTCTTAAGAAACTCAACCTGTCGGATGTTCCTCAGGAGCACAGCAAGATCTACCCTCCTCAGTTTATGATGGAGCTTTACGACAAGTACGCCTCGGACAGCTTGACAATCCCTCAGTCTGATGTCATACGAAGCTTCACTGTCCAAGGTACATGAACTGAGCGTAACACTGACCATCACCTGTTCATAAAGATAAATGTTAACCACAACTGCTTTATGTATAGTTTAGGTTGTCTTGAGCTGTTCAATTTTATCCACATATATATATATTTTTATGTTAATTTTACATTACATAAAGCTCTAAACCCATGGTTCCCACACTTTTAGGACTGTGAAGGACCCCTTCATTGTCTACTTGTGATCCGTCATTACTGTGATCAAAAGTGATCTTATTCTTATTTTATTTTTGGGTGCCTAAAAATCAAATAAAAAAAACTTCCTGTAATTTGTAAACTGAAGGAGTGTCTAAAAAACCCCAATAATTTTATGAAACAGAAATATGCTTTTTCTGGTTCCTCTCTTTTTTGTAATTATGTCACAGACACACAGATTTATCTTGTGAGCCCTTGTGGGGGCCTCAATACTGTGATGTATTACCCCATGATAGCCTCCCAAAGACTGTAATGCTTGTATCTTTCCTAGAAATAGCCAGATACAATGTATTAAATATTGATTCACCCCCACTTTTTTAACGTTTAACTGAAATTTTAATCCACTCATTCAAAGACTCTTAAACGATACAGCAGCTATTGTGCATCATATTTCATTTTTGGAGTTAAACCATTTTTGGATATAGTGTATTGGTTTCAAGTGTCTGGCCATGGGTATTTTGAGCCGTGATCCAGTGTTGCTGACTGTCAATTTTAGTGATCCACTCCCATCTGGAGCAAGTCATAGCCCTGTTGATGAAATATATGTTTTTTACTCTTTTCAACAGGCAACATAACATTGGTTATCAACTATTAACAAATTCAGTGCAGTTTATTTCTCTCAGAAAGTAGAAGCTAGCAAGCTAGGCTATGTAGCTTCCACATGAAAAGTAAAAGCTAGTTAGCCTATCTTGCTAATATTAACGTTAATGCAATCTTCTTATCAAATAAGTACAAGTCAAAGCAAACACTGATACATGTACAGATTTCTTTGAAAAATCTCAGTTTGACCCCTTGTCATATGTACAAATATCAGCTGCCACTGACCTCTTCGTATCTCTCCAACAGATATCACTTTCTCTGTGACAAATGGCACAAAGACGAAGTACAGGCTGCAGTTCAACGTCAGCATCCCCAGCCATGAAAAGATTACTACTGCTGAACTACAGCTCTTCTTCCTCCCACGTCCCAGGTCAGGGGTCACCTTCCACAATTTCAGGGCCACCGTCAAAGTCTATGAAGTGGATTACGACGATTTCACACCCACGACCCAGCTACTGGTTGGCAAAGAGGTGACAGGCTCACAGAGCACATGGGAAAGGTTTGATGTGACCACAGCTATTCAAAGCTGGATCAGGTCGGGTCATGGAGCAACTGTTTTTGATGTAGTGGTGGATATGAAGGACTGTGGGGCTTCTAAGGGTGGAGAAGAAGGAGAAGGCTGTTTAAGTCTTAGCGTGTCTGTTGGGGATAATACTTCAGCGGCTTTAATAGTCTTCTCAGATGACCTGGGTAGCAGGAGGAGGGAGACCAAGAAGGAATTAAGAGAGATGATCCTCCATGAAGAAGAAACCATCTTACACTCGGGTGCCGATTGGAACAGAGGAGATCAACTTCCAAACGAGATCCCAGAGGCTCAGCATCCACGGAGACAGAAGAGGAAGGCCGAGAGGGAATACTGCCGGCGAACCTCTCTCAAGGTCAACTTTAAAGACATCGGCTGGGATAGCTGGATTGTGGCGCCTCCAGAATATGACGCCTTTGAATGTCGAGGCCTGTGTTACCACCCACTGACAGATGAGTCCACCCCGTCAAAACACGCCCTCATCCAGACACTGATCAACATCAGGGACCCCAAGAAGGCCAACATGGCGTGCTGCGTCCCCATCAAACTGGACCCCATCACTGTCATGTATCAAGAGAACGGACGCCTTACTATAAGATACCTTTATGAAGAGATGAAGGTGGCAGAGTGTGGCTGCAGGTAGTCAGGGAGATTTGGTTTGCTTTGATGGTAGCACAGGTGATTCTTATGGTTCTAATGCTGCAATTTATTCGAGTCAGTCAGATGTTCATGCACTTCATTGATCCAGGAGAAGTAAAATAGGCAAGTCTAAGAAGAAAAAAGGATGCCCCTACTACCTATTTGAAGAAAATTTTAAAATCCCAAATATTCCTCTTCATGCAACAGCTTATGTTACATCAGTGATATTTTACCTAAATGGTGATGTTTTGCAGTTATAATGCTCACCATAGTAATGATCTTATTTTGGCACATTTTAGCATGCTAACGTTTGCTAATCAGCACTAAACGCAAAGTACAGATTACTTTTGCAGGTCTTACCAAAAGTATTGGACCAAAAGAAGTTTTGATCTGGTAGAGGAAAAATCAGAAGAATTCATCCTCTTGGGGCCATTATATTTGCACAAAACTTCAGGGCAACTCATCCTGTAAGATAGTTGTTCAGTTCAGTGTGGACCAAAGCGGTGGAATGACCTGTCAACAGACCGACATTGCCACCCCTACAGCCCTGCCGCAAGCACGGCTAAAAATATAATAAAGGTTAATTAAATATATTGTGTGTATAGTTTTTAGACTGTACCCTTGAAATAGCCCAATGTCATGTTGCATTTACAGTTTATTCTATTCCTTGAAATTTATTGCAAACAAAAGTAAAAAAATAGCGATATGTCTGGGATGCAGCATAATAATAATCAAATTATGCTTTTTAGCATTTCACATGTTGAAACTACCAAGCAGAAAACCAAAGGAAACAGCTTTACATTGGGTATTTAATACTGGTTATATGTACATAAAAAGCCCTTACGCTGCCTTGGTCTAATGTGTTTAAACAGAACTAATAAAATTGTATTTTGTATGTAGTAAATAATGTAAAACAGAACATAAGTATGTAAAAAGTAAAGTAAAAATAAAAAGTAAAATGCAAATGTAAAAAGTCCATCTTTAATTACTACTACAACTTCTACAAAATAACATTTTTATTTTTGTGAAAGATTAAAAAAATAATGCTAAAGCGGATCCATTTATAATGTACGGAAGCCCTGAGGACGAAGTGAGAAAAAAAATTCTGATGATCCTTTTTCTAAGTCCTCCAGTGGAGTTTTAAATTCATTTCACTATGCACTCTAAACACAACATGGATAAATTATACATATATTATTATATGTATACACATTGTGTGTTAGCACTTGTTTCCATGGATGAAAAAAAAAAAAAAGGATTTATCCTCTGTCTGGGCTTCCATAATGTGTTTGTAAAACCAATAAATTGACTTGTTGGCATTAATAGGGTGGCATTTAATCACAGCTGTTCATCTATTAATCCTGTACTAGTTTTAATGTAAATCTGTACATTACCATTGTAACTGTATGTTTGTTTATATTAATATATTAGTAGTAGTCTGTAATCTACTGCCATACAGACTTGTACAGAATGGTCAGTTTATACATGCATGCTACATTGCTGATGTTGCATGTACTACAAGAGAAACTGTTTCTGAAGTTCTGTGTTGCTATGCACGGCGGCTGTAATGAACTACTAGCATGGACATCTATATAAGGTTGACATGCTTTTAATAAAAATCAACCAGAATTTGATGACAGTTTAATCCTGCAGTTTCAATCTAAATTAAGCTGCTAACCCTACAAATCAAGTTGTCTAGCTTCCGGTGGAGAGTTTTTTTCCTACTGTATGTCTTTAGATGTCTGCATTTTGTTTCTGAGGCCTTTCCTATCCTGAAATGAATAAAAATCTTGTCACAAAATAAAATTGTAGTTACTAATGTTGTTTACTGAGCTCATTCTGCATTTATAGAATTTAGTAACTTGACTTAATGTCTTTTTCTGGTCAATTCCTTTATTTCTTTGATCTCCAGGGATGACTGTAGTATACCAAGAGGCATAAAACTCAACCAATAAAACACTTAATAATAATTAGAAATTCTTAGAAATTCTTCTGGCAATTTTGACGTGGCACGACATGTTGATTTTGTGAAATAATGAGAAACGTTTGTGATATAAAAAGAAAAAGTGAAAACTGTGAATATTTCTATAATACCAGTTGGATGAATTTGTATTTTGTTCTCAACATTATCTTCTCTTTTATTCCTACATGTCTTACATTGGAGGGATAAAATAGGGTAGAACTTTATTTATCCACATTGAAAAGTTGGCTTCCTTTTGTCCATAGGTGTGAAAGTGTTTGTCTGTTTATATGTGTATATTTGTCTATATAATGCTAGCCTTAACTGAATTGGGTATCAGAATGAGTGCAGCAGTGAAAGCACAGATGTCACTAATAGCACAACACTAACAACACTATTAATTGTATTATTTACACCTTTCCTTTTGTTACTGTGACGTGAGGTGTTGAAGCTCCAGGATGCAGCCAGGGGGAAACAATCATTTCTGAAAGGATCATCATCCTTTGCAGAATGACAGGATTACAGCAGGCAGCAAGGGAGGGGCGGGGTACACCTGAAATCAAATCAGTAATCTGTCACCTTGTAGAGATGGACACTAGTGCAGAAACCAAAAGCAATAGAAAATGTCTCATTGTTTTTACTACCACATGCAAATGCATTTTTGAGAAAATTAGGAAAACGTTTTTGAAAACCATAGACATTAATAGGCAACTTATGATTTTATATATGATATATAGTATCATATATGATGATATTTGAAATTGAGTTATGTTTTTTGGGATGTTTTTTCAAGTAAATAAGTCCAGTAGCAGTAGCAGATTATTGAATCCCTGCACTAAGGTATGCACCCTACTGCTCGTCATATGATAGTGAAAACAGCTGTGAGTCCTTGTATCTTTAAAGCAGGGCCAATAATGACTTTATAGCAGATGATATTCTGTTAAAGTTGGTTCAGTTAGGCTAATGGATCCTCCTGTACAGACTGTGTACTTGTGCATAATTGACTTTTACCTCACTCTCTTGTTAATTCATGGTTCAATGAGTTTGGTAACTTCAGATAATTCCCAGCACAGATCCACCCACCTTAGCCAGAGCAATAGCCTAATTAACCAGACTAAGTGAAAACACCTGTGTAGGTGTGCAGGGCTTTTAATAAAACATACTCTTTTTGCCTTGACTGCTATCATCCACACTGTCAACTGCCAAATAATATTTATTGCATTTTGAAGTTTTAATCTATTCAATAAATTCCAGAATTTAATTCTTAAAAATGTTCTTAAAAAATTAAGTTCTTGTTCACAGTTCTTGTACTATCCTGTTGTAACTGTGAACCCAAACTATAACAACAATGGAGATAAATATTCTGCTAAATATTGTCTGTATGTATATCTTAGCCACCACAAATCAAAGGACTCAAATTGAGAATTACATAAATTCAGCTTGTCTGTAAATTTCCTCACATAACAGAACCATCCCATATTCTGTTGTTTGTGGGGTCAGACTCGAATCACAGATAGACTTCTCAGAGGCCACTTGTATAAAATGAAGGGAACACACTACATGGAAAATGTCTGCTCAAATGAAAGTAAAACTAACTTATTCTAGTCAAATATTTTTATCTTAATGCACAGTGTCAGCTCTGCAAACATTTGCAGTCAGTGACACATCCTTATCAGAGCGGAAACCTCTGTAACAAGACCAATGAGGGTACAAGTTCATGTACGTTAATTGAACATCCTTCCTGGGTAACCCAAAATAGCACCAATAACGAGACACACAATTATAAAAAGGAAAAAGCCAATAAAATAATTGCTTCAGTTGACTTTTGCCTCAGAAGATCTTCCCCCAATGTCTGAAGTGTCTGGATTGTCCTGTTTTTTATTTGTTTTTCAAATTTTATTGCAATAGCAGTATTAATACATTCTTTGTCCATTTGGGAGCAGAACAACAAACTGTAAACACAAAATTGACAAATACAACCTTATTTATTAGAACAGCATTATAGGCAACAATGAAAAGGGCTTGCTAACAAGCTAGCTAGCTAACTACTGAAATAGCTAAGCTAAATGTAGCTGGTCATGTTTATGCCTACTGACATGTAAATAATCCCGAGATTATTTCAGCCTACAGCAGTAGAGAATAGAGATCCTGCATTCAAATTTTTTGGTTGCTGTTAGCAGTTCACAAATTTCAATATGCAAAATTGTTGTAGCCTGTTCTTATATTGATACAGGAGGGCAAAGTATGACTGTGATTAGAAGTCTTAATTCGCATGCTGGGAATTTGGCAAAAGGGATTGTATTATGTAAAGCATGAGGCGGTATTAATAGTTAAGACACTAAGATTAGCTGAGCACCGTCTAGCATTTGGACGGAGATAATGTCTGGCTGCATAATTCTGAGCTGCAATAATTGCCTGAATTAGGGTCTTGCGGGATTCTGTATGGAAGTCATTCAGGTTCAAGCTCAACAACAAGATCTAACACTTACAGCACATACAGAATCTAAATCAAATGAAACGATTAAAACTTCATGTAGGCACTTTCCTTGTTACACCATCCACCGAATGAAAAGATATCGTTTAAGAAACAATAGCAAGGCAGGGGAAAAGGGAGAGTAAATACTTCAGCATTCAACCCAGATAAAGCCTTTCCAATCAACCTTTTGTTCCTGTATCCAGAGTGTGCGTTTTTTTTTACCCAATTCTGATCCTGCATGTGTTTTAAGAAGGCTTTGCCACGTGTCCACAAACTGTGTAATCATGTCACCAGTGGAGCAACCCAGACATGACCCCTAAAGCTACCAAGCGCACAAAAATACGCCACCATAAGCTTTCGTAACAGACAAGTGGGAGAGAGTGAGGGAGAAGGAGCGTGAGAGTTTCTGATCAGGGCTTTCATATCACAAACACGTGTTTGACCTGTCCCTCAAGACAGTTTTGTGTCTAAAAGAAATGTTGAGGTGGTATCAGTATAATGATATATGATAGCATATGATGAACTCTGAATGTAATGCAGACAGTAATTCAAGCATAAGTAAGACTACAGTGAAACTGTAGAATTGTGTCAAGTACATAGACAAATACCAAGCAACTGCATGAGTATCAATTAGAAGCAAGAACCGAAACAAGCACTGTGTTGGTGTAGGAAAGGGTAAGAAACTACACTCCCATTTACCATTTTTCATTTTGTCTGTTATTGTCTGCTGGCTGAAGCACCACATATAATGCGATTAAAGGTTTATTGAGGACAAAAGCCTCTTATGTTGATGTTGTTGTCCAAAAAAACGACAATGACAGTGTTCCCTCCTACAAAAACCAACCCCTCTTACAGGGTCATATAAACTATCACAGGCCAGTGAAAGTGAAGACAGAGTGCTTCTCTTTCCATCAGTGATGATGAAGACATTGGCGATGGCGCAACACACACCAGCACTGCTATTGATTCTTCTCCTATGTACTCTATCTGTAAACTCGTCATTCCAGCCTGCCCTGGTGTTAGAAATGGCCAAGATTCTTTTGGAAAACTATTGCTTCCCTGAGAACCTCATTGGGATGCAGGAGGCCATCCAACAAGCCATCAACAGTGGAGAAATCTTGCAGATTTCAGACAGGAAGACACTGGCAGCTGTGCTCACAGTCGGAGTACAAGGGGCACTGAACGATCCACGGTTGACTGTGTCATACGAGCCCAATTTCGTCCCAATGATGCCACAGATGCTGCCGTCTCTCCCCGTAGAGCAGCTGATCTGGCTGGTGAGAAACTCTGTCAAACTGGATATCCTGGACAACAACGTTGGATATTTGCGGATAGATCGGATAATTGGGGAGGAGACAGCGGCAAAGCTTGGCTCTCTGCTGAGGGACAACATCTGGGACAAAGTTGCTCAAACATCCTCGCTGATCTTTGACCTGAGGTATAGCACAGCTGGTGAATTGTCTGGAGTTCCGTTTATAATCTCCTATTTCTCAGAACCGGATGCTCTTATTCATATTGACACTGTGTATGACAGGCCCTCAAATACAACCAAAGAACTATGGACCATGCCGTCATTAATAGGGGAAAAGTATGGAAAGAAGAAAGATGTGATTATTTTGACCAGTAAGCGTACTATGGGGGCTGCTGAGGCAGTGGCATATACATTAAAAAACCTAAAGAGGGCCATCATAGTTGGGGAAAGGTCTGCTGGTGGGTCAGTTAAAGTCCAAAAAATTAGGATTGCTCAGTCTGCGTTCTATATAACAGTTCCTGTTGCAAGATCGGTCAGCCCAATAACAGGTCAGAGCTGGGAGGTGAGTGGTGTTTCCCCAACAGTCAACATCATTGCCAAGGAAGCTGTCACAAAAGCCAAGTCCCTTCTGGCTGTAAGGAGTGCCATTCCAGAAGTTGTGCAAAGTATCTCTGACAAAATCGTGCGGTTCTATGCTTTCACTGACCGAGTTCCAGCTCTTCTTCAACATCTGCAATCTACAGACTTATTCTCTGTTGTATCTGAGGAGGACCTAGCAGTCAGACTCAACCATGATCTCCAGAATGTGTCTGAAGATCCACGACTGATCATCAAATATATGCAAGACAATGCTGCCATAGTAGAGGAGGACCCTGAGCTTTACAATGTTCCAGATGATATGAAATTATTAAGAGAGCTGGTTGATACCATGTTCATAGTGGAAATTCTACCACACAACACTGGCTATCTCCGCTTTGACAAGTTTGTCAAGTTCTCTGCAGGGGATAAACTAGAAGAGCTCATGGCTAAAAAGGTATGGGAGCCCCTCAAAGACACTAATAACCTGATTATTGATCTGCGCTATAACACTGGTGGATCCTCTACGTCTCTAGTCCTGATACTGTCCTATCTGCAGGATGTTTCCCAGGAGCATCACTTTTTCACAATTTATGACAGTTTTCAGAACACAACAACAGAATATGACTCTCTGCCTCAAATTACAGGCCCATCCTATGGCTCCAAACGAGGGGTTTATGTGTTGACAAGCTACTACACAGCAAGTGTCGGCGAAGAGTTTGCTTACTTGATACAGTCCCTACATTGTGGCACCGTCATCGGGGAAATTACATCTGGTACCCTGATGCACTCAAAGATGTTTCAAATAGAGGGAACAAATATTGCCATGACTGTCCCTTTCATAAACTTTTTAGACAACAATGGTGAATGCTGGCTGGGAGGTGGTGTGGTTCCTGATGCCATTGTGCTTGCCGAGGATGCTGTGCAGCATGCTCACGAGATTGCAAATTTTCACAAAGGGCTCAGGTCCCTCATAGAGAGAACTGGGGAACTGTTAGAAAAACATTATGCAATCCATGAAGTTGCATTAGATGTCAGCAAGGTACTGTTGAGCAAATGGCTTGAGGGATTGTACCGGCCAGTGGTTGACTTTGAATCTCTGGCATCTCAGTTGACGGCGGACCTGCAAGAAACTTCAGGTGATCACCGCCTTCATGTCTTTCACTGCGATGTTGAGCCTGAGTCGCTTCATGATGTACCAAAAATTCCTACTGCTGAAGAAGTGGGATACATGATTGACGCTTTGTTTAAAATTGAGCTTTTGCCAGGCAATGTTGGTTATCTGAGGTTTGACATGATGGCAGATGTAGAGGTGGTAAAGGCCACCGGACCTCAGCTGATAAAATTAGTGTGGAGCAAGATAGTAAACACAGATGCCCTTGTAATTGACATGAGGTACAACACCGGTGGATATTCAACAGCAATTCCCCTCTTGTGCACGTACTTTTTTGATGCTGAACCTTTGCGGCATCTTTACACTGTCTTTGACCGCACCACAACCACTATGACAGAGGTCATGACTTTGCCTCAGGTCAGGGGTCAAAGGTATGGGTCCTCCAAGGGCGTTTACATCCTCACCAGCCATATGACAGGGTCAGCAGCTGAAGTGTTCATCCGTACTATGAAAGACCTGAACAGGGCCACAATCATTGGGGAACCAACGACTGGAGGCTCTCTATCAAGTGGAACCTATCAGATTGGGGACAGTGTCCTATATGCTTCCGTTCCTAACCAGGTTGTGTTGAGTGCAATTACTGGGAAAGTGTGGAGTGTTTCAGGGGTCGAGCCTCATGTTATTGCCCAGGCAAATGATGCTCTTCCTGTGGCACAGAGAATCATAGCAGCAAGGCTGTTGAAGAGAGAGCAAGGAAAATAGTTCCTCATGTTGTATTAGGGTTAGGGTTAAGGTTATTTCCTTTGAAAACTATTAGTTAATTTGTCTTGTGTTTAGCCACCACTTCAATGTGAAAGTCCTGTTTTCATGTGTAGTTTGTGTTGCCTTGTAGTCAGTTTCGCATATGAATCAGTCATATGGTCCACTGGCCACAACTACAGCATATAAAACAGTCTTATCATGTAATGAAATTTAATAATTGTGTAATGTTGTTGATAATGAATCCTTCATTTAAGGCAGTAGTTCATAGCAGAGCTTTTCTGACAATTTAATTTGAGGTGACCTTATAATACAAAGGTGTCCAGAATCCAGAAAAATTCTACTTTTCTGGTCTTGGTTTAGAGTCTGTGCAGGGTTTCAGAGACATTGTTACAAAAATACAGTGGTGGGAGTAAAATAATACTTTAAAAAAAATTCACATCAACATAGGTAATACAAATGTCGGCCCTCCACAATCTGTTTGATTTGATTTGATCTGTTTAAATCTCAGAAAGGCCAGCTATGTGTATGGATTCAATGTATATCTCATTACAAAAGGGAACCTGTATGCTATTGGTTATAATCAAATCTACTATGGCAGTAAAGCTGATGTAATGTATGATAACCTGTTTATATTATTTTAGTGTAAACAATGAGCAAAAGTATGTATAAGTATAATTCACCAAGTCAGTATTTCTTGAAGTAAATTACATTGCCCTCTTTTTAGCTATATAATGACATTATACCTCCCCACTATATTTTTATTCCTATCATGGTTGCCTTTTTCTCTTCTGTTTTAATATTATCTGATATTTCCTGTAATAACATTTTAAATGCCTCATATAACTAGGTAAATATTGTTGTCCCATATTAATGCAAGAAAAAATATATGATCATTATGTAAATGTATGTTGATGTATTTAATTATTAATTTGTAATTTTTTGCTAAATGTCTTGACTCTTTGCTTATTTTCTTTGCACTGTGTTTGTTCAGTATGCCGTAATGATGTTTCATTTTTCTGTTCCTTAACTACAAAACTACCAGCAGAGGGAGCAAGCACCAAGCAAACCTGAACTGAATCTCACTTCAACACCACTTCAAAAAGGAGACAACCACCACCAACTGAACAGCTGCTATTAAGTGTGCACCATTTATGAAACAATAAAAGAATTCAGTGGTTCAAAATTATTTTTGATTTACTTTCCAGACATTAACAGGCACATTCCTCTTTGACCATGAATAAATTGTTGAGTAGGCCACACAACAGGTTTAAATTTTGTGTTGAATGATATGGTGATCATGAGTTTTTAACCTCTTCTTATATTTTCATCTTTAGCCAATCAATAACTCCCACTTGTGAATAGTGGCACCAAGTAGCTTAATAAGTGAACAGTGAATTACTTATAAAGCTTATAAAGCTTACCTTATTTGACACAGGTAGCTTTAAATAGGTGCTTAAAATACCTTGTATAAATTTAAGTCTACCATCCTTGGCAACAACCCCTTGTTACTACACCTACTTGGCTAGGTTGTTATTGTCTTACCGAAGTACTCAGGATAATACGATAAGAGGTTTATTGTGGGGCAAATCCTCTTACGTGTGTGTTAACAGAGACCTTGCAGCCAGTGCCATTTGACAAAGAATCTGTTCGTAGAAGGAGGTTCAGCTGAACAACTTCCACTTCTCTCACTTTTTGTCTGACTAAACTGACAAAAATGGCAAGGGCTCTCTTTTTGGTGGCATCTCTGCTAGTTTTGGGAAATGTTTTCTTTATTCATGCCTCTTTTTCCCCTAGCCTTATCGTAGATATGGCAAAAATCATCATGGACAATTACTGCTCACCAGAGAAGCTGGTGGGGATGAAGGAGGCAATTGAAGCGGCCAGCAGCAACACAGACGTTCTCAACATCCCAGACGGTGAATCCCTGGCTAATGTCCTCAGTAGTGGAATGCAGACCACAGTCAGTGACCCACGCTTGATGGTCTCCTTTGAGCCAAACTACGTCCCTGTGGTTCCCCCAAAGATGCCTCCCCTGCCCCCTGAGCAGCTCATTGCTGTCCTACAGACCTCAATAAAGCTCGACATCCTGGAGGGCAACATTGGCTACCTGAGGATCGATCACATCCTTGGGGAGGAGGTCGCTGAGAAGATTGGCCCTTTGCTCCTGGACCTGGTCTGGAATAAAATCGTGCAAACCTCAGCTCTTATCTTTGACCTGCGCTACACTGGCAGCGGGGACATCTCAGGGATCCCCTACATTGTGTCTTACTTCACTGAAGCCGAGCCTCAGATTCACATTGACAGCATATATGACCGTCCCTCAAACACCACCACTAAGCTGTTATCTATGTCCACACTGCTGGGCAGCAGATATGGCATTACCAAACCCCTCATTATCCTCACCAGCAAAAACACCAAGGGCATTGCAGAGGATGTTGCCTACTGCCTCCAGAAGCTGAAGAGAGCCACCATTGTGGGCGAGAAGACCGCCGGGGGCTCTGTGAAAGTCGATACATTCAAAGTGGGCGACACTGACTTCTACATTACCGTGCCAACTGCAAAGTCCATCAACCCCATCACAGGCTCTACCTGGGAAGTTACAGGTGTAACTCCTGAGGTGGAGGTTAACGCTGAGGATGCCCTCGCTACCGCCATTAAGATCGTCAACCTCCGTGCCCAAGTTCCAGCCATCATTGAGGGATCAGCGACCCTGATTGCTGACAACTATGCCTTTGAAGATATCGGGGCTGATGTTGCAGACAAGTTGAAGGGGCTCCTGACAAATGGTGAGTACAGCACTGTTGTCTCCAAGGAGAATTTGGAGGCAAAGCTGTCTGCTGACCTGAAGACCCTGTCTGGGGACAAGAGCCTGAAGACTACCAGCAACACCCCAGCCCTGCCACCCATGGTAAGACCCATGTACATGAAATTATTGGTTTTTGGTAGTGAAAGTATCTTTCACTTCACTTTTATTTTTTTAACTTTCCCAGAAGTATTGTTATAGTATTATATGTAGTGATTTGATGAAGTAGATGGTGGATGAACAAATTGTCTCTGTTTTTACATTTTTAGAATCAAATTAAAATATAGGATTTTGTAGTGCACTCGGTACAAATGTTTAGTCTATGGAAGATAAGATATCAATATTATAGATTTGACATTTGAAGTATGTAGCAATAAACTTTTTTTTATTATTTACTCGTGATACATTGGCCACACTTATATTACAAATTCTGAGTTGTTGCATGTTCCTCTCCCACAGAATTATTCTCCAGAGATGTACATTGAGCTGATCAAAGTCTCCTTCCACACTGACATATTTGAGAACAACATTGGCTACCTGCGCTTTGACATGTTCGGAGACTTCGAGGAGGTCAAGGCCATTGCCCAGATTATTGTTGAGCATGTCTGGAACAAAGTTGTCAACACTGATGCTCTCATCATTGACCTCAGGTGGGTAATCCTGCTCACAGAGCAAGTCAAAGCTTCTATTCAAAATGCAGTTTGTCCATTTAGAAAAATAAATCACCCTCTAAGGCTCATCTGTTTATGACTAAATAGAGAAATAGAGGACTTAGTCACCATTAGTAAAGTATTGTTTTCTAAGGATTTATCTTTTTGTTGTTTATCTGTACATCATTTTAAAATATGGTGTACCAACAGATCTAGAGGATTAACTGAATCTAACAGGAAAAAGCCGGTCAATTTATTACTTAAAAAAATCTTGTCTTATCGTACCCCAGCTCAGATCAGATAAAACCTTTATCAATGGCAGCATAAGGGAAAAGTTCACAAAGAATCTTTCAATTTCATCATGAATCTAGACTTTCTATGATGTTCTGCAACTATTCTTGCAGGAACAACATTGGTGGCCCAACAACAGCCATCTCGGGCTTCTGCTCTTACTTCTTTGATGCCGACAAGCAAATCGTGCTGGACAAGCTGTACGACAGACCGTCGGGCACCACCTCAGAGCTCTCGACCCTGCCTGAACTCACTGGTAATATAAAAAAATCAAGTCATTTTATTACAAATGGTGTATAGTGCCCTAGATTCCTGTTAGCAACAAAGTTAGAAGTTAGCTGGTGAACATGGTGGAGCATTTAGCAGCTAAAGAGCCAGATATTTACCTCAAGAGTTGGTGGAGAATAAAAATAGAGCTGAGAGGACCCCATCACCTCTCTACCTCATCTACCTCACATTTTAACCTTGTTCTGCCTCCATCTTATCTTCTTCCTCAGGCACAAGGTATGGCTCCAAGAAGAGCCTGATCATCCTGACCAGCGGAGCAACTGCCGGTGCCGCAGAGGAGTTCGTTTACATCATGAAGAAGCTCGGCCGCGCTATGATCGTCGGAGAGACCACCGCCGGGGCCTCCCACCCACCCAAGACTTTCAGTGTTGGCGAGACCGACATCTTCCTCAGCATCCCCACTGTCCACTCCGACACTGCCACTGGACCAGCCTGGGAGGGAGTTGGCATCACACCTCACATACCCGTCTCAGCTGAGGCCGCCCTCGGCACAGCCAAGGGCATCTTCAACAAGCACTTTGCAGGCCAGAAGTAAACCACGTCCTGAACAAAGCCAGAGGTGTTTCAGCAGTCACTTTTGCTTTGGCAGCCAAATAGTTTAGAGATTTAGAACCTAGACTTGTTTTAGAAGTGAATGTAGAATAAGTACAAAGTACAAAGTGTAATCTGTTATTCATCATCTCAAAACCTAAGCCTTGTAAGCTTGTCTGTAATGTAGAGCAGAGTTTCAACAGAAGGATTTACTTCTAGTTTTTATTTCTGTTGAATATTACCCTGGCTGCTGAAGGTTTTGTAAATGAATGGCACTGAGAAGTCGATTCTCTTGTAAAGTTGGATATGAATAAGTCTGTGTCAAAGATCAGTTGTCAAGACATCAAAATCAAAAATAAATTAAAAGTCACATGAAAAAAATAGGAAACAAATTAAGTAAACACATACAGATGCTTTGAAACTAAGTTATGTACTATTCATGTATTATCTTGGATATATATGAAATTGGGACCTTCGTGAAGTAATCTACTTGTTGCTCTGATCAGAAAACCATCATGTGATGTCCTCATTGTGTTTGGGAAATTATATATGTCCATTATACCATGTGGGCCTACTTGGGTTGTATCAATGTCAGTGGTGAGACAATAAAAAAGAATACTGAAATACAAAACAAAAGTGTGTGTTGGTCATGTTTTACATAAAAAGAGGGGGCAAAGAAGTACAATACAAAAGTCCTTTTATGAATCTATCATGTATCTATTCTACAGTGAAGTACATACAGTTCCTTTTTTACCTAATTAGTTTGTCATAACATACAACTGTCAGTTACAATGCCAAAAGCTGGAAAGAACTAAACATTTCTGCTAAATTGGAGCATCAGTTCACCAACAATGGAGTAAAATGGACCAATATGGACCCATATCTACATCTGGGCCACAACAGACAAAGTCTTGGCACCCAAAGGAATCATCAGACGACAAGCAAAAGAAGATTTTATCAAGATTGAAAATGAACTGTACCACAAGCACAGTCTGCTTGAGGGGATTGTCAAGCTTCTTGTCAAACTTTGTATTTTGTTAGTGACAGTACAATTGTCAAGATTATGCTGTGTTTAAGGGCAATTATTTCAAGGACTGCAGGAACATGCTGTTCTCTAAATGGTGACAGTTTTGGTGGTTTCAGTGGTTCAGATCCTGAGTCATGTTAATCAGAACAAAAGTAAGTCTTGGAATAATTTTGATTGCATGCTTTAAAGGCTAGCCCTGTAGTCTTGGTAAAAATACAATAAACCGAACAGAAACACACATAAGAACCTATTTTATTGTTGTGCAGACTAGATTCCAAAAAGAAACCAACCTTTGGTATCAAAGAAAGTATCTTCATATAAAGTGGAAAATGATTTCGTAAGCATCTTATGTAAAAATGTAGGAGTAATTCCTCAACTAAACTCAAAATGGCTGAAGCTTAATGGTAACTCAACCTTAATAGATATATATTTGGTTACTTTTTTGTGAATCCACTAAAACTATTGTTTCTAAGGTGCAATTCAGAGCATGCACCCAGAGTTAAGTGGGAAAGATTTCCTGCCTTGAGGCCCAAGTGAAAAAATAATTTCTCCGGGTCTCTGAAGGAAAGTGGACCCTCTAAACAAATATGAAAATATAGAGATGAAACACATGTAAATCTTAATTTGCTTCAGGTTATTAGTTTCTAAGTAAAACATTTTGATTTGTTAATAGTCTACAATGGACTTGAGTGTTTAAGTGTACATGAGTGAACATGAGACAGAGGAGCTCTGGAGTAAATGTACTGGACTTTCATTTGTAAACCACAGGGATCAGAAGGGATCAGTCAGGTATCAACATGTGTTGAGACTTAAAATGAGAGACAGAGGGTTAAGGAGTGCAGTGTATGTGTCTGGAAGTGGGTGTGGGGATCTGAAGCTTAAAGTCCCACAACAGGAGAACATGTGAAGAACTGGGCATAACCTTTTGTGAACCACATCTTATTTTGTAGCTAAATTTTTAATGAATAACCACAGTCAGTGCTTATCTCAGTGAAAAATACACTGCGTTTTCTGGTGTTAGAGTTTCGCCAGTTGAAGTGGTAGCACTAGGATACAAAGGTTTGCAAAGGTAGAAACTTAACAAAACTCTGATGCAACTGTTAAGTAAGTGAACAGTACAGTGAGCAGGAATGGCGGGCTCCGCAACTAACATAAAAAACTATTAGATGTGGTAAATGTGAGTTGTAAATGTCACCCATGAGTGTGTGGTGAACCATTTTGAAGCCTCCGGTTCGGTGTTTTGGCCGCCGCAATGACAGTAAAAGCGCAAGCCAGTGGACGTGATATACTGCGAGTTGATCTACACTCATTGGATGCGTAAACAATGGCAGCTCACCTGGTCACACGCAATCTCGTATTGCAGCTAAATAGTATACTAAAATATGTTTCTGAAATGATTTTAAGCGAGAAATGGACAACACAATAACAGAATCTAGCTACTACTACTAGCTTTGTATCTGATCAGCACTGCCTAGTTTGACAGTTTGATCTTAGTTTAATGCGCTGCGCTGGACAGATTCACTGAGAATGACCTGTCAATCAAAAGGTAGCCCCACCTAAAAGCATACGCTGCTTTATCATATATTTTACACTAAATTGGACCATCATTTACTAAATGAACATGATAATGTATTGAAAAGTTGTCAAACTAGCGACTGAGACCATAAACTAATCAGGAAACTCTTTACTGAGCTCATAATTGAAGTGACAAGTTGGCTTATTCTCCATTAAAGTGGTTGGGATTGCTGTGTTATTGCAGCCAATGGAGCTCCCCCTGCTGGCCTTTACATAGAATGCAGGTTTTAAGACACTTCCACGTTGGCTTCACATTTCAGACCTGGAAGCTTTGTCCGTTATATATACTGTCAATGGTGTAAATACATTGAATGGCTATTGTTGAAAAAATGGCAACCATAAGGGCTTGATTTTATGAAAATCTTAAGGATTATAACTTTAAGGAAATGAAAATATGGTGTATTTTCTGAAATTTCATAACATCACAAACTGCCATACAGAAGACATGGGGCCATGTAGTATTTCACCATATAGGAATACTGTATGGATAGAGAGCGAGAGGACCTGGGGGTTAAAAAGGGGCCCAGCAATTCATTTCTACAGGGCCCCTTGGCATGTTAATCCAGCCATGCTTACAGAGATGATAAGGATGGTTGTCCTCTTTGTGAACGTAGTAGGTGACTTGCAGATCGATTTTCAGTATATGGATCATGGAAAAGATTGTGGTGGGATTTTTTTTTTGTATGTTTCAAATGTAACACAAACTTCACACAAAGACTAAAACTATCATTTTTGTTGTGTTTTTGTGAATTTAATTTCATCCTCTGCTTCCGAACAAACACATTAATGAAAAAAGTGGGACCTTTACGCTTAATATAGAACATTTCTTTGACCCCAAACCCCAATCCTTAATAAAGAAAGCAATCAGAATACTATCTACTAGTTAGCCAGATGTTTTCTTTGGAGATAAGCTTCACAACAGCCAAAACACATTTTGTATAATGTTTGTTGTACTCTGTAAATGTGCCAATCAGCATATATTTGCCACACTCTTATTACAGCCTCTGGTTTATGATGGTGTAATTACAGAGGATGCTGCTGTCCCTGGCCCCAGCTGCTGTAATTAACTGGGAGCAGCAGCGCAGAGAAAGCAAACAAACTTGTAGAGATTAATGAGGACAAAACGCCGAGAACCGACATAAATGCACACATTGGTTTAAGGTGGTCAGACAGAATGATATATATGACAATAGGCTTCAGCATCCAGCAGTGACAGCTCCTATCCATCCTGCCCTGCGCAGATTCCCCCCGCTAAATGCGCCAGTCTGCCACGTGAGGGAGGCGCAAAATGGGATCTTGACCCATTTTTCCTCTTTCTCTCTCCTCCTCAGTTTGAAATATGAAACCTGGTCCATTTCAGCCAAGTCTGTCCCCCGGGCTCCCAGTTCCTCCAACGCTGCTCTGCATTAACCCAGCTTCATTTGGCTTTTTCAGACCTAAACTAGTTTTGACACTTTGACAGGAAACTTTTATTAATTTTTTTTTTTTTTTTTCACGAACCACCCACTCCATCATTTTATCCATTTCTCCCTTTGCCGCGGGTTCGGATTTGTTTCTGCAGAGGTTGTTTTGAAGACTCCCCCCCACCCCCGCTAACTGCACGAGTACCCTGAAATACCCGAAACTTTTGTTTTTCAGTCAGTCTGAGTGAGAGAAAGCATCTCTCCAGCTGGCATTTGGACCGGGATGATTGTAAACTGAGCTCCAAAAAAAAAAGAGACGCGGAAGCATCGCCTGCATCCTTTCTTTTGTCTTCGTTGCATCTCTGCCTCTTCAATTATATAACTGTCTCTGGGATGTAAGAAGACGCTGAAGCATTGTGGTTTCTTTTCATCCACAAAGGAATTAACTTTTTTTTTCTTCTCCCCGAGGAACTATGGCGAGATTTTTGTTGAACATGCGTCTTGTTCTGGTTTTATTCGGATTATTTTTGCTTTCTTCTCCATCCGCCAGAGCCGAGCCGGAGCTGCAAGACGAGGAGGAGGAGGAGGAGGAGAGCTCCTGTCAGGGCGCTTTTGACCTGTACTTTGTGCTTGATAAGTAAGTGGAAACAGCTTATAACTGTTCTCTATACATAAAGGCATAATGGTGATATCACTGGGATGGTAGCAACAACATCTGAATGTACTTTTCCTGTTACTTTTATTGCTTTGTGTCACGCTGTAACTAAGGTTCCAAACAGGTGGGGAATTATATGAAAGTTCCAGCTTTTGACACGATTAAAAAGAACGTTAAATAATAAATAAGTTTATCTTGGCTAATCGAGTTTAAATTGGCTGAGTAGCGCCGCTGCATCTGCGCGTGCGTGCGCGCGCGATGACGCTGACTGGCGGAGTACAGTTTGCTGAACAAGCAAAAAGAGGGGTGACGATTTGGATGCTGCAAGAGTGATACGTCTCTCCCTCTGCACGTACAAAGCAGCTCTTTCTTTGTCCACATCATTTAGTCATTGCAGAAGAAAAAACGATAGAGCTCCTCCAGGCAAAAGAGGCTGCTCTTTCCTTCCCACCCCTGCTAAAGGGACTTTTTTTTGGTCTTAGCGGAGTGACTGCTCACCGTTCACTCTTTCATTTCCACTCTGTACGCCCACATAGGAAAAATGTTGTGGTTTAGTGACATCTTGGTGCTGGACTATAGCTGGGGAGAAAATAAAATGCCAGAGAAAAGCAGGAGAAGCTTCCAGAGGGCCTGCTTCTCTTTAAGTGCCTTCACTGGATGGCTGATATACATTAAAGTGCAGTAGTCTGTCTTGTGTTTCCTGACATAATGCAATACAGGAATCATCCTGTGTGCCATGTTGGGACTCAATATCCACTAAAACCCACAGAAAAAAAGTGCAGAATTTTCAAATCTGACGTAAAAATGAATCACATGCTGCAACCAAACAAACTGATGAGCAGACATGTAGTGAGGATTAAGTCAGACTCAAGTCACACATTTAAGGACTTTAGAGTCAACTTGAAAAAAAGACTTGCAACTCGACTTGGACTTTAACACCAACTCGACTCTTTCACTTGCTTGATACCTTCCCCCGAGCCCAAAGATCATGTTATGTAAAAAGTGTGCCATGTTCAGTATGAGAAAAATAATGTATACCTAGACCCTCTTTATTATATTATTACTCTGTTGTTAAAATGGCATTAGGTGGATAGCGCATTAAAGCTTGTTTAGGACTCGAAACTCAAAGACTTGAGGCTTACTTGTGACTTGCAAAACAGTGTCTTGGACTCACTTCTGCTTTACTGTGATCAATATAAAGCTTTGCTTGGTTGGCTCTACTGCTCCACTATTCTATCTGTCTAAGTTTATCTCCAGATTCTCTACGCTGCATTTAAAGTATATTGTTGTATCAGCTCTTATCCTTCATCTTGCACTAATGGAGCAGTGCCAGGAGTGGTGAGGGGAAACAAGAAAGGGCAGGAAGCAACAACATTTATGGAAAATGTGGTCTTAATTTGGAGAACAAAATGTTGCACGCAGCACCTTTAAAGCCCTATTTTTGAGAGAAATGAGAAGTCTCATGCAGTTTAGCATCAGTTGACTGTATTTATCATTTCATACACCTCTGGATGGCTGTATCTTACATTTTTGCCACTGATGGCCCCCAGTGGGAACCAGTGCCTAAGTGGTGCACCCACTGAACTTCACAGCGCCTTTGACATTTTTGCTGGCATTTGAGTCCAGAGCAGAAGTGGACACAAAACATGAGACTGCTCCCCAGATGTGGAGGTCTGCATTTGGCTCGGGCAGTGCGGTAAACACTGACACATGCTGTAAATAAGGAAACAGATTCTTTTTTCCCCCCAATGTCAGATGCTATTGTTAGCTTGTCTGCGTGCTTTGGTGCTCACTCTGGGGGTGACTAATGAGGTTTAGACATTAGCTACGGACTTCAAACCAAAGGAAGCTCATTAGAAACCTCTTTCAGCCACCCTTCAATCCCATCCCTCAGGCCTGAGTTGGTTTTATGAGACACAGTCTGAACTCTCTGCCTCGGTTGATCGAGCATGAGAAGGGGTTTCAGTCCACTGAAACGGTGACAGTCCTTCCTTCATCAATGTAAGACACAAACAACTACTGCAAGGATCTTTGGAGGGTTTGAATCTTGTATAGTTGTGTTGTTGGAACCCCACAGTCATAGACCTTTTGTAACTCACAAAAGGGTGCTTAACATATTGTGTTTTAAAGCAATAACAACAGAAGAATTTGAAAAATAAAAGTGACCTAAGGGCCAAACTTAGACACAGAAATGTTGGAACAGTCAGGAAGTTCATTTACAGTGAGTAGCACAACAGACAGGACTGACCACTATGGTTGAAAAGAGTTTTTTTTATATTATGGCCACAGAGGATGTCACTTATTAGCTACTCCTCTCGGGTGGAAGCTGTTTTCATCATTTAGGACACATGCAGGCTATAGTGTCCCTGAGGAAATTAAATCCTTGTTGAGGATGATGATGATGATAACTTATTGTCAGATCAAGTTGGAATTTTTTCTTGCATCACAGCAGCTCCAAGAAAAGACAAAAATTAGGAAAAGAAACCAACATACATATATTATATATACATAACGTTACAAACACTGAGGACAAGTTTTAAGACTTGCAACATGCATTTGATCAGGGATTAAGATCCATATTTAATTTTAGGATTGACCGGTGCATAAAAAGTGTTTCAGTCTAACCTTTGGTAAATTGTGGTGAGTGCTATTAAGATGTTAAAAAACATGTTAAGAAATAAACAAGTCTTAAAGGTCCGGTGTGTAACGTGTAGGAGGATCTATTGGCAGAAAAATGGAATATAATATTCATAGCTATTTTTCATTAGTGTAAAACAACCTGAACATTGATCAGATTTTCTGTGCTTTTGTTACCTTGGAATGAGAACATTTTTATCTTACAGAAGGACAGACATCTCTTCTACATAGTCAGCCATGATTCTACATTCCTGAAATGGGAGCGTGAAGCGAGGGGACTGTATTCTGCAAGTACACCGCTAGATGCCACTAAATCCTACACACAGGTCCATTAAAGTAGTAGACAAACATTTGTAGCATGTTGTACTACAATACTGCAGAACACTCATGATCACATAAAAAATAAGAAGAATTTGCTTTCTAACAAATCTTCTGGTTAACTGCACCTTAACTAGCTGTGAGGCTGTAGGTTGGCACAGCAGTGCTTTGAGCTAAATGCTATCGTCAGCATGATAACATGCTTACAATGACACGGCTTACATGCTGATGTTTAGCAGGTACAGTGTTTACCATGTTCACCATCTTAGTTTAGCGTGTTGGCATGCTAACATTTGCTAATTAAAAAAACAAAAACATTGGCACTGAAAGTTCAAAAGTATCATTTTTAAACATTATCTGGGTCTTTGCAGAATTATCCAATATCATGTCTGCAGATAAGGCTGTTAGTGATTAACTGGAAAGAAAATGTACAGACACATGGTTAACCTGATGGGACTGGGATGGGTCCGTTTGCTTAAGAATGAGAAACACACTTGGGCACTGTGTTGTAGGTGGAGAAGAGTCACGAGTTTCACAGTAATGAGGGAAGATAACTGCTGCGTTGGCTCATAAAGTCGACTCCAAAGGCATTCATTGCACACTAGGGCAGATGATGTCACGTCATGGCTCGAACATGTAAGACAATGCTTTCTGAGTCAGATGGGTGGTTGCAGTCCGAAGGGCAGTGAACGTGTCTAATGACTGAATGGTTGCCAGTTTGAATCTGGAACATCTTGGACTGGGTTTGGAAAATCTGGTTTGTAGCTAGACATACTACCCTCAACTGCCAAGTGCCCTGCAGGTCATATTCTTAAGGAAAGTATTGTTGTTACAATACCCACAAGGGCTCAAAGGGGTGAGACGCAGCAACACAACAACCGGTGACAGACTAAAAAAATGCAACTAAATAACTGAAGAGGTTGGTTCTCACTTATGTTCTCACTTTAAGACTAATACACAGGCTCTAATAACTAATAGGATACAGATGCAGGAGCATCTAACACATATAGGAGCAAAAACTGGTATACAGGGTCTTAAGGGTTTCCTAATGAAACCTTATAGCACAAGCGTGTTGATTGAAAAATGTGGCTAATAAAAGATAAAGAATCATGTTTTGATTAACTAACATATGGCCCATAGACGCACCCCGTCAACCGCAGTTAACAATCTGACATCATATGCCTGAGTTGTGGTTTATGGTATATGGTTCTCAATCAGTCATGCAACACCAGTTCACTGATTTCTCAACTACTGTAACCTAAATAAAGTCACACAAGTCCACAGCCGTTCTAGCGACTCAGTGGTGCTAACTGCTGCATGCTAACAAGCTAACATGCTAATGTTTAGCAGGTACCAGGTGTTTACCATGTCAACCATCTCAGGGGCTGTCCACACGAATAAGTTTTTTTCGAATCCGGATAAATACTTTATCGTATCGGCCTCGCGTCTAGACGGATACGGCGTTTTCGGAGTGTGAAAACAGTATTTTTTGAAAACGGGTCCCAGAGTGGGAAAATCCGAAAACAGATTTTTTCCGAAACGATGGACGTATTAGGCCCCGCCTCTGTATGCTTTAAGCCTCGCCGCGGGCCGGGCTAGATAACATGATGCGTCCTCTTACTCATGGTTATGGCTTGTTTTGTAAAACAGCGTGTGACCTTTGCTCCATGGCTTCTCTTCCGGTTTTAGTGTATTGGTGTGGCGGCGTCACAGCGCCACATACAGGCCTGGCATATGTACTACAGCATTGTCGGTCATTTTCAGTGAATCCGTGTGGATGCAGATATTTCTGGAAACGAGCGGGTGTTTACGGAGGTTTTTTTCGAAACATCATCGTATTGGGTGAGGCCGCGTATTCGTGTGGACAGGCTCTTAGTTTAGTGTGTTAGCATGCAAACATTTGCTAGCACTAAACACACTACAGCTGAGACTGATGGGAATGTCATTAGTTAGGTCATTAAGCAATGTATTGGACAAATAAAAAAAGTACCACTAGAGCGATAGTCAGCGGATCACCAAAGTTATTA